CGTGAGAATAAAGTGACGTGACTCTACCCATGATTCTCAATGAAGGAATATCTCGGATAAACATTCACATCAGGTACTTGGGTGGCCACACAGCAGTCCACAAACACACACAGTGGGACGTGGTTGTACACCTTCACAGAAGCCTCAATATTAACAATATCACCCAGGAAGTACAAGTTTGATGGCCTCTGATAGGACCAGTTATCTGCAAGAGGAAAGAACGGTTTAGGCACAGCCTCATTCACACGGCTTAAGATCTAAAGAAACTGCACAAACCCATCATGAGCTTCAGGGAGAACAGCAAGACTTCCTCGCCAACCTCCGTTGAGGCATAAGGGACCCAAGTTGGCCTCAAAGCATTACTGCTCACATTATAGAACCTGCAGTTCAAGGGAAGTACCAAATAAACTCTTCCAGTTGCAACACCACAATAAACAGTGATGAGTCACATCCTGTCACTTACCTTTGATAGTGGCATTGAACACCAACAACAGCACCATCGGCACGAGTAATCGGAGTGCCAGCGAGCACCTCAGGAGTGTAGGTAAGAGCAAAGTTGTAGACAAGCGCATCCTCAGTCATTGCTGAAAAACCACATCCGGTCACTTACCTTTGATAGTGGCATTGAACGCCAACAACTGCACGATCGGCACGGGTAATCGGAGTTCCAGCGAACCCCTCAGGAGTGTAGGTAAGAGCAAAGGTGTAGACAAGCTCATCCTCAGTCATCTGTAAGAGATTGAAGTAGTTACCATGAGAGTTCTCCTCGACTACTCTTAAAAGGTTCAAAAATAAATGCGTTTTAGCAGCCATGCCATATTTTTATTATATATATATATATATATAGCAGCCATGCCATAGGACCACTTCTGGTTCCCCAAAGCAACACTGTGTACAAATAATCCAGTAAGATTTAACAGTTGTTACCATCAGCACACTATTGCAGTCCTGTAGTTCATATTCAAACCTTTACCTCCACATTGAACAGCCACACTACTGGGAGTCACAGGTTGCCTCAACTGGAAATCCACCGCCAACTCACTTTGCACTTCTGGAACGATGGGAAAGCTCCAATTCAAAGGCTCCACTGGACCCTGCAACAGCTGCTTCTCCTGAAAACCAAGAGGCTCTTGTGCAAATCTTCTGGAGTCCAGACTCTGAAACTGAGAAGCCTTTTGCAAAGGATTCAAGACCCCTTGAGAAGAAAGAGCAGGACTTCTGGAAGCTGGATCTGATTGCAGCTTCATGCTGCTTGGACTTTGACTGTCTCAAACTTCCCCATGCACTCCTCAAGTCAAATACCACAATCACAACCAACACTAACACACCTTGCAAAAGACCCATCCTGACAAACATTGACACAATATCCACCAGTGCTAGGCTTTGCCATTAAGTACAGCTTTTAATTTAGGTGACTCCTCCCCTTTCAGCTTAATTGATTACCTTTGATTCTCCTCTGGGCTTGTAGAGTTTATGCATTAGCAAATGAGAATGTTCTAGTGTCACTAGCCAATAGAAAGTTTGATATGGATCTGAGGTTTTCATCTACACTCATTAACAATTTTACAATTAAACTTTGACAGTTTGTCTATGATAGACAGTTATTGTCATTTTAAAAGCACATAAGCTCACACAAATAAAAGATATTCATAAATAACCTATTTTTAAGAGTTGTCTCGAACTGCGCACTCGAGCTCAACATATACGTTTAGACAAAAACCTTCCCCTCCATCTCCCTCTCAAACTGTCACCGGAGGCCAGAAACAAGTGTTCCAACAGATGACGTAGGCACAGTGTAATATCCAGTGAGAGGCAATGAACACAGACGAGCAGAGGAGAGCGCAAAACAAAACACCGGTCACGATTTAGAAGTACAAAAGGATTTGTAAAGAAAAATGTCAGACGGTTTCGATATAAAGAGACTGGTTTTCCTTTGCTAAACAAAGAAAACTTTGCTTCTCTAAACAACTTGTTTTTGAGACTAACATTCTCACCGAAGCATATGCTACTGTACATATACATAGGAGCTAGCGATTACATTTTATAAAGTTATAAACATGGATCTCAACTACACATGGATTCGCTTCAGGAGCCCTTTATTAACCCCCCTGGAACTGTAGACACTTTATGGATGGACAGTTTATTGGACTTCAATTGAATATCACACACACACACACTCACTGCCATTATAACGCTGAGAACAGCCAAGACTTCAAAATATAAAACCGATTGTATTCATATGAAAGAAAATATACACCTAGGATGTCTTAACAGGGAGTACATTATGGGATAATTTATTTTTGGATTTACCACCCCTTTACTACCAGACAATATTATGTCTCAATGTGTAGATCAATGCTTTTTTTTTTTTTTTTTAAAGCTTATTTTTGCCGTTTTATGCCTTTTATTTAGATAGGACAGTAGGTTGACAGGAAGCGAAGTGGGTGAGAGAGAGAGGGGGGAAAGCAATAAGTTAATCACATAAGATGCATACAAAATATCTGCAGTGCTTCAGGGAAGTGGGTGTTTTAGTAGAAACTTTGCGGCAGAGACTCCGATTGGCAGAACATTTATAGCATCATGGGCAATGGATTCCACTTAATTCTTTAAACTGAGCTTAAACCAAGTTCACAGTAGGTCTCTTTAAAGGTCAAGTTCATATTTGCCTACTGAGAAAAGGGAGCTTTTCCTTCTACAAAGAATAGGTACAGTAGGACTACCAGTTTCCCCACACTTGCAGCACATTCAAATCCAAATTGGTTAAAACTAAAGACAACAAAGAATAGGTTTTTCCATTTATTGAAAACCAGCAATAGGTTCCCCCCCAATTTACTGAAAACCAGCTGAAGTCTTGTGTCGCTCTTTAACCATTACAGGACCAAGTGAGGCATTGCCTTCCCACTGAATGCCTAGAAAAAGCAAATACCCAAGTTAAGTAGAGCACTTGAAGTGTCAAAAGCAATCTTAGAGCAGCTACCTACCCCCAAAAAGAGCAGCATTTCCACCATCAGGACCACATTTTGAGTCACAGCAACCACAAGCCTGGTGGTTCCCATCAGCAGCAAGCCACCTGCAACAAGAAATATCAGACACTGCACCTTCAACGTGTTCTTAAGTAGCATGCACATACCCATTGGAAAAGGAACAGGACTTGCGGAGAGCATCACTGGGTGCAGAAGCAAGAGTGGCCTTCACAATACACGTTATGTAGATCTGCAAGAGACACAGGTAAGAGGTCACAAAACCAAAGCAGATGGGAAGAGAAGTCAAATTCACTCAACAGTACGTACAGAAGGACTGTATGCTCCCTGGAACATGAAGGCCTCCAGCTGGAACCGGATCTGGTCTTCCTGGGTTCGAGGCATGAAGTGGGAGCTGGAAGCCGTAGCCTTGGCATCCACAAAGCACCTGATAAGCAACAAAGAACTCGGTCATCTCTGTAGCAACAAGTCACTAGACCTTACCCTAATTCTCAGGGACAAAGTTGTGAAAGAGCAGCTGCATGCGCCAAGTGCCATAACCCGTGCTGCCTCCCAATGTGGCTACTTAAAATATGCCCTTAAAAGTACGTACTCTTTTGCTGAAAAGGGGTGTGTGGTAGAGTAGGCAAGCTCACATCATACAATTGAATCGTTAACGGACCGCTCCGTTGCATACTTGCGCGCACCCTTTCACTAAACTGGCCTGTTAATCTCGTTTCAGTTAACATCCTCCACATTGCATTTCCTACCGTATTGAGAGAAGTAGCACGTTGATCTGCCAGCCATGGGTCTAAGCAGAGAACTCTACCAAATTTTTGTATGATGAATTTAAAAGTTATTAGCCAAACGGATGTTTATGAAAGGTTAGATAAACTTTGTCAGACAAAGTCTGAAATTTCCTGCGTAACAGGGTTTCTCGCACACCAAAGCTTCACAATAGACAGACCATACAATTAAACTTCTGGGTTTCTTTTTTATAAAAACACGTGTACCCTATTCAGTTCTAGGACAGCCTGGTGTAGAAAAGTATCTTAAAATCACTCAATTCAATCTTAGGACCTTGTATTGACAATTTGATGTAGAAGCACAAATTAATTATACAACACATGACTAGGGTTAGAAACCATTCTTGGCCAGCATTAAGGGGTTCTTACAGTAAGATAAATAACCCTTCAAGATGTCCTACCATCTTTGAACCGGTTTTAATTTGGTTGACATTGTGGCACAAGAAATGCAACACTAAATACTTGTTGCCAGGTTAAATGTGGATTAGTAACTAAACCCTTAATCTAAAATCCTCTACTTAACCATTAGCCTCACATCCACCATGTTTGTAGTTTCTTTATTCAGGTTTGTGGATCTGAACCAAATCTTTCACCAAAGAGCAACGGTTTGTAGGCAATATTTGCCATTAGAATGTACACGGACCCACACTTAAAATCTGAAATGGACCATCCGGGGACTTTTGGCATACTCTAACATACAGTGCTTTGGAACACTTATTTTACTCGCGTACTATTTAGGATGGACATGATGAACATTGGGATGGTAATTCTCAGTGTTGAGAAACAGCACCTACCAAGAGGAACTAAAAAAAACACCTTGTCACTTGATAGTTGACTCACCCTAATTCTCAGTGACCAAGTGGTCATATTTTACAAGCGTACTCGTAAAAAATTCCACGACTTTTACTCCTACTGCTGTCATTGGCCATT